TATATATATATATATATATATATATATATATAATTTCGAAGTTTTATTAAGATATGAATGACTGTGCCATTATCATCTGCAAAAATGCCAAATTTGCTGAGTAAACAACAGCATAGTATCAAGAAACTTTTCAAATTTTTTTTTGCTCAATTTTAGTACCGAGAAATAAAAATTAATAGACTCTAATTTGTACAACTATTAGTTTTTTTCTTCCAAATCTTATTGTTGAATATTAGGATTGCCTAAAATCTTTAAAAGCAATAAGTTTACCTTGCATCTATAATAGAAATGATACTTTTTTTTAAGTTAACGTAACACTCAGCTATTATTTAAAAATAACTTCAAATAATACTACAAATCTTACTGCAAAAAAGTGCAAGAATATATTTCAACTATACAACTGATCTAACTATGTTAGCAGTAATCAATTTAAGTAAGAAAAAATTAGAGACAAAGTGTTTTTCATAATCAATAAAAATCTCTAAGTTTTAGTTGTAAATTTTTGCAAAACTTATGTACGTGGGAAAATTTCAATCTAATATAGTTTAGCTGTTTATATTAGGTCTAAAAATTGATTCATAAATTGTTGTAAAAAAAAAAAACAGACAATCAGTTAATTTACTTGTTATTATACAGACCATTTAATGGTTTATTGAAATTTACTGCTGTGGTTGATAGCGTATCATTATGTTTAATGAGGTGAAAAAATAAGTGTATTTCCGAAACGACATTAGGCTAAATAAAATGTGCTGTTGAATTATCGTCAGCATAGCTGCAACAGTTCTTAGCTGCTTCTGATTTATTGAAAAAAGAATTCTCTTTTTACACCAATTTTTTTTTGATACTTTCTATGTAAAATTCTTCTCAGTTCTTAGCAGTTTTTATCTTCTTTTTTACACTTGTCTGGATAAGAAAGATAAAAGGTAAGTGAGTGCTTTCTACTGACTGCTAACTTTATTCAGATGACCCGTAGTTTGGGAACAGTTGCCGCTGGGGCGCCTACATTCAGAAACATGTCTTTATTTTCAGCTAACAAAATTTGTAACAAAAAATTTTAAAAACCCTATGCAACGGGGTGATAAAGCTAAAAGTATAGGTAAAAATAACTAACTGTACTGTCACTGTAAATCAGCTTAGTAAACAGATAGACTAGTCGAAAAATTGAGTTGTGAACAGTCAGTAAAGCTAAAAAATAAGTGATGTAATTAGTATATTATGCATAAAAATTACATTAAATTACAGTGTCAAAAAAAAACAACTTTTTTCTTTTTTTTCTTTTGGTTCTTTTTTGTTGTATTCTACAATTTTTGCTGTTTCCAAAAGTCAGCAAGCTCATAATTTGTCACATCTCAGTAAAGCGTTGATGTAACTGAATACCTCGCAACGTTACTGTTTCGTTCCCGTTTTTCCTCCCTTTTTTTTCTGATAGGAACACACTGAGATGTTTAAAGTTGTCGACTAATTTTATGCTTTGTTGCTAGAGTATTTTTTTCAGCACATTTATTCCAAATTAGTGTTTATAGTTACAATGACTATCTGCATTTAAATATAGCTTAATTTAGTTTACTATTCGAAGAAAGAAAATGCTCATTTCATTTTTTCTTCCTTTTTTTTCTTGGTTTTTTTTATTAGACAAAGCTGTTTTTTGCACATCGATTCTTAGGAGAACTGCTATGAAAATTTAGTATTATTAATTCAAGAAAAGTTTATTCTAAACAGTATTACTTAATGATATATGATTAGCTTTGTGTAGGCTACAATTACAACTTTTGAACTCTGTTTTTCTGTATTCTACAGAAAGACAAAGTTCAAAAAATTGTTCAAGTAAATTTTACAAAGAATTCTAGATGAAGAAGTTGTAGAATGCACTGCAATATGGCAATAAATTATGAACTGATTAAAACGCTGCAAATGGAAAAAAATAATGCAAGTATTTTGGGGGGTTTTTTGACTCTAAAAAAGGAGCAAATGCTGAAGAATCACGTGAAGGAAAAGAAATGTCCTTATTTTTTGAAAAGCATAGTTTTGTACTTCTGTTCCGACAAGTGGCGGTTTGAGTAATTGAAAACAGCGGTAATGAAAGAACAAAAAAATTGTATCTGTGTTTTCCTACTAAAAAACTAAAATTTTCTTACATAAAAAGACCAAATTAACTTTTTCTAATATTACTCCACACATTTAGAGAGAAAGTGTTGCAAAGATGAAAAAGTCAACAATTTTTTACCACAAATGATCATTGCAGTTTGCAGGTTTCAAGGCTAAATTTTCTTCAGTGTTTTTTGTTTCGCCATTTTCTAAAGTTAGTCTAAAAAAGACTTTTGACCAGAAAGCAGTTTAGTAAGGCTTTATACATCACAAGCATATAGAAGTACTTTTTTTGAAATAGCTAAATTTTATTTTTATTAAGAAGTGTTATATTGTACTAAGCATAATATTAAAGAATTAGATTTTAGTCAAATTCTATATAGCAGTAATGCTTGGAAAACCTTCTAATAAGTCTTTTTTTTATTTTTTAGATTTACTTTTTGGTGTACTAAAATGTAGTTTATTACTGCATTTCTTGATTTATTGATTCCTCAGTTTTGACATTTTACTGAAAAATCAGACTCGTTTTAGCAACTTTGAAAAAGGTTATATTTAAAAAAGACAGTCAAAACAATCAACTTTTGATAATCAGAGTAAATAATTGTACATTAGAAAAAGTAAACAAAAGTTTTTTCTTTTGTTTGAGTACATAGAAAAAATTACTGATTTCAATTTTCTAAAAAAAAGGTCGTGTCGAAAGAAATAGATAGAAATTTTTTTGCTTGATATTTTATAATCTATCGGTTGACCATAATTAAAAGTTGCTCAAAAATGCCGGTATTGAGAGAAGCAAAAAACCAGCCAAATTGTATTTTTGTGAAAGTATTAGTCTTCTATTTTTCATTGTGCGATTAATAGTCCTACAATCTTTAGCTTAATTCTCAATGAATTTCAGTTCTGCTTATTTTATTTTACTGTCATTAAAAAAAGCAAAACTGAAAGTTGCTAACACGTCGACTTGCAATAGCATACATTTTGTTACATTTTACAGAAGCCTCAGCCACCGGAACCATGGAGCGATGTAAGGATGTGTGACACTCATGGGCCAAGGGCTCCTCAAAAAGAAATTCTCCCAATCCAACGTTTCGCTCCTGCAGTTCCAACTAGTGAAGACTGTCTTTACCTGAATGTCTTTGCTCCGGAGTGGGAATGCCCGGCTGAACAGGCATCTTTATTTTTAGCTCTTGACTTATTAATTTTACAGAACTATTTCAGAAAACAATTAAACTCTTGCGAGACTGCTACTCATTTATTCAAAAACACTGCAGATAAAAGATAAATAAAACTAAAGAAAAGGAAAGAAATAGCAGAGAGTCGTAAAAAAGTGTTGTTTTAAGCATTGCTGAAAGTTGTTATTGTACGATTATCAAGATAGAACATAAAATTTCGACTAATTCAGACATCAGTAACTTTAATGATGATGCAACTGTAACACTCGTTAATGCATAGATAATGCTTTATACCAATGATTTTTTTTTATTTTAGCCCGACGGAAGAGCAGTTTTGGTCTTTATTCACGGTGGTGGGTTTGCAACTCATACATCAGCAAATTATGGCGATTATAATATATGCAAGTAATTTTTGACAATATTTTCTTATATCAAATTTTTTCAAAATGTTTAAGCTGCTGTTATTTCTAAGCTGTATAAAAGAGTTCAAACAGTGGTGATATGTGATATGAATTAGTTAAATATACGCATATAAAAGTATTTATGACAGTATTTTTGTTATTTGTAGAACTCTGTGTTCAAGAGAGTTAGTAGTAGTGACAATTCAGTATCGACTTGGAATTCTTGGCTTTTCTGCAACTGGAGACGAGCACTCAATTCCAAACCTCGGTCTCTGGGACCAAGCAATGGCTTTGAAATGGGTGAAAACTAATATTGCGAATTTCAAAGGGAATCCAGAAAACATCACTATTTTTGGTCAAAGTGCTGGTGCTGCATCTGTTGACATGCTTTGCCTATCGCCTCACACTAACGGTAGTGAAAAATGCAAATTTCTGCTAAAACTGATTTACAAGATTTATATTTTTAACGCATCATCTTGCATCTAATTTGCACTGAAATGTTTTTCTAATATATTACAGAACAATGACGCTTTGAGACCGCCCGAATCTAAAAGTTTTGTCTTTTTATGGTTAAGATAATTTTTTTTTAATGTTTTTTTTGCGACAATGTGCGAGACAAATAATTGGAAATACTCTTTTCTATTTTTTTGTTTATCTATAAAACTCTGAATTCGCGAATTTGCTTAATTAAAGTAAGGATTACGCTGTTAGAAATATTACAGATATAAAAGAAATGACAAATTTGAAATTTACTCTGTGGCTTGACAATTTTATCATTAAGCTTAAACTAATAATGATAATCTTTTAGTGCTTTTCAATAAAGCTTTTGCACTTGGTGGCAGTGCCAGCTGTGGATGGGCAATGATAAACATAGAGGATCTTCGAAATGCAACAATAAATTTTGCAATGAAATTGGGCTGGAGACCTCCAGAAAACGGTAACTGTTCGTTGCTCTTTACCAATGTGAAAAAGTATCTAAAATTTACTTTACTTTGGAATTTTTTGTAAGGTGGAATACAGTTCCGGTTTGTAGAAAACAATTTTACTATCACAGACTCGTTCGCTTATTACTCATATCTTGTTTCCTCAAAGCTGTTTGTCTTAGACAATACTAGCCTTAGAGTTTCAGGAAGTAGAAGCGAGATCAGCCAAAGCTTGATGGATTTTCTGAGGAAGCAACCTAGCAAAAAGCTTGCGCTTGGAATGTCTGAAGCCAAGAGAACAAATAAAAATCCTTACGGGCTGTTTTTCGTACCAGTTGTTGATGGAGATTTTTTTCCAGCGTCAATTCCAGAACTGCGTAAACAGGCGCCAAAAAAATCTTTTATGATTGGAACTACAGAATACGAAGGGCTTTTGTTCGGTAAGTCTATAGATTTTATCAATTTCTAAGGGGCCGAAATGTATAATGGTGTAGCTAAAAATTTTGAATATCAGCTATAAATTAGTGACTTCAGCACAAATAAGTTGTCAGTCGTGGCAGCAACTGTGCGACGGAACTCTACGGTCAAATTAAAAAGTAATTACTGAGCCTTACTTTCCAGTTGCACTAGCTAAAAAGTATTATGGTATCAAAAAACTGAAGAAGATAATTCCTGAAAAGTTTACGGCAGACAAGTATCAAGACTACGAAGAATTGAAAAGCAAAGTTACCGCTATGTACCTGAAGCCGCAACAGACAAAAAATGAAATGACTCGAGCATACGTCAAGGTGGGCTTCAAGAAACAACATCTGAAATTTAATTGTTAACTGCAATCTTGTTGAACATTTTACACTTTTTCAGCTTTTAAGCGATTTGTTCATCAACAACGGTGTACACGAATTTGCTCAGGACATGACATTTGCTGGACACACAGTTTACCTGTACAGTTTTTTGTACTGTAATCCGAAACATTTTGGTTTTCTAGGCTTTTTTTTCCCCTTCAAAGGTATGTATATTAGTTTAGATTGATTTTTTTGTTAAAATTAATAGAGAAGAATTTTTTAAAAATTTGTTTTCTCAATGTGGAACGTCATCTAACTTTACTGAATCAAACTTTTCACTTTTCTGGTTACTGTCTAGTCAAAGTGATTAGATGCGAGCGTATGGTTAATTTTTGTACCTGTGATTTAGCAGCGACACATGCAATGGAATTACCATATCTCTTTGGCAAAGGTCTCATGTCGAGTTTTAAGCCAACCATTGACGATCAGAAAGTTATGGAGAAATTTCATACTTTGATATCAAACTTCGCCATCTATGGGTCAGTGTTATATTCGTCAGTCTTGTTTCTTCTGGTGGAGGTATTTTGACGAGTTTATTCTTTAGAGATCCTAATGGCACCAGCATGGAAAAGCAATGGAAACCACTAACTGCTGAAGATACTTACTGTTATCTGAGCATCGATAAAGAACTTGTCATGAAGTCCAATTATGAAGACCGCCGACCAGAGTTTTGGCACCAGCTGAACGCTCGAAAATTATCAATACTAAAAGACAAAAAAGAAGCAGTCGAAGAAAAAACCGTGTGAAATTAATTTTGTAAAAAAGTTTAAAGTTTTGTATAAAAAGAGCGGCTAGTTTTAATTTGCTGAGCACATTTGCCTAGCCTAAATATATCTAAAGCATATTAATCTTGACCAGCTCTGGTATTTTAGAGAGATTTACTAATCAAAGAGGATTCCTTCTCGGTTTTCAACTTTGATATTATTTTACCAGTTTGTGCAGTTCCTCAAAATTCGCTAATCTTTGAGTAGGATTTTGCAAGACGGGCAAAATTACGAAATTTCATTGTATCCAAACTAAAGCAGTGGTCGTTTCCTTTTGCTCAAGTCATTTGACTTGTTCTTTTTTTTCGCGAAAACTTTAATTTTTCCCGGAAGTTTTATGAACTTGAGTTCCAAAGCCAAACTACTGAAGTGGCTCAGTTACCTGCGTGGTGAGTAGCTTAACTCACTTTTGTTGCTCCTCATTTTTGATAAATTAATTTTCTTGGTTGTACAATTTGTTAGCGCAACTTTTATCTGTAATATGCTGTTTTACATTTACTTTTCATATTTACTTTCGTCTACTTGTTGTAATTTTGATTAAGTGAATTTACAAAAACTTTCAATTGTTTTGTTGTGGTACAGTTGATAATGATGTAATTTTCATACCATAATAATTTCTTTTAAAACAATCAACTGGTTCATTGATTGTCTTATGTATCTTTGTGCGGTACTTAAAGTTTCCAAGTTGCAGTTGAAAAACGAAACTGAACGACTTAGATCGAGTGAGCCCTCGAAAATGGTGTATTTTATTCTCCTCTTTTTAGATTTTAACGCTCTTTTCGCTTTTTTCTAGTTATAGTGAGTAATATTAGGTTCACGAAAAATTTAAATTATTACGATATGATTTTTCAGAAGGTCAAACTTTACTTGTTGAGGAAAACACACAATTAAAGTAGGGATCTGTAACGAGAGAAAGTTCAGCATAAAGGGAGAATATAATTGAAGATTTTCTAGATAGTTGCAAGATAAGTCTGCAACTTTCAGAAACTGTTTTAAGTGCCTATTTCGCTGTTTTTTCAGAAGTTTTACTTTATTATTTTAGAAGTTATGCATGTTTAAGTCGGGTGAAAAGTTCATGTGGAATTGTTTTCATATTTGTATTAAAATAAAAACAAAGACGGTTCTGCTTTTGCCACTTTTTTCTATTATCTTGGGTCCTGGAAATATTTCTAATAAAG